GCTCTGTCTTCATGCATTCATTTTATGGTTCATAACTTCGTGTGAGTGGGCATACAGGACATGTCCTTGTGTCTGGTGCCTTTTCTCAGTGCTCTGTGAGAGCCATAGATGTGTTTTCCTCACTGCGTGGCTATTAATTTATTTTCATAAAATCAGTAAATAGGGAGAAATAGTGCTGTGAAGTCATGAACTGTCTGTATTCACTTCTGAAGTAACTCTGCTTCTCCATTTAAACATGGCTGCGGGGCGCCTGGCTGGCTCAGTTGGTAGGGCGTGCAACTCTTGATCTCGGGGTTTGTAAGTTCAAGTCCCACGTTGGGTGTCGAGATTACTTAAAAGTAAAATCTTAAAAAAAAAAAAAAAAACCTTGTAAAAAATAAATAAACGTGGCTGATAGGTTCAGGTCTGTCATGATTTGGGCTTCCATATATTAAGAAAAATTCAAGGTAAGCCTTTACTGTGCTGTCCAGTGGTACAGCCGCTACCAATGTGTGGCTATGTACATTACAGTTTAAATTAATTACAGTAACATTTAAAATTTTGTTTTTTAGTTCCACTAGCCACACTTCAAATGCTCAAATAGCCACATGTAGCTGGTAGCCACCCTACCAAATGGAGCAGATCTAGAACATTTCCATTCTTGTAGAAAGTTCTGTTGGACAGTGCTGTTTAGAAAGCTGGCTGTTGGCTGACTTCCTCTTTCCTTTCCTCTTTTCCAGACATAGGATGTTGTAGTGGGTTTTATTTATTTTTTTCATTGTAAGTTGTCATTTACTTCTGTGGTTCTCAGGCCATCATCTTACAAGCTTCTGTTCCCTACATTGTCCCTCTAGACCTTGGGGAAAAGGTAAGTGGGAGAATTCTCACAACGTGCTATACTTTTAATTTCTACAAACTACCGTGTGCTCTCCTACTTCAGGGCCTTGGCGATACTGCTTGGAACCCTTCCCAGCAACCCGCTCGCTGTGTGTTGATTTCTCATCTATCAGATTTCAGCTTAGACTGTCTCCAGGGGACCTTCCCCATCCCTCCTCCCAGCCCCCAAGCCTAGGTTACGGCCCCCTTGATTCAGCTGCCACAGTAACATGGCCTTTCCCTGCCTGGTAGCAGTTGCTTGTTTCCTGACTTCTGTCTCCCACCAAACAGCGAGCCCGGTAAGGTCAGGGACCAGTGTGTCACGTTCCCTATTGTATATCCATTTCTTGGTCGAGTGCCTGGCACTCAGGAGAGGTTAGTAAATATCGTGGAAGGAGGGAACAATGGGCTGCACAAGAAAGGGCCAATAACCTAATAGCTTAATGTTAGGGTTCTTCTCTCCCAGGTAGAGTCAGTTCCAGGTGGGAGTTTATCAGAGACAGCTTTCTGTCTGGGCACCTTACAGAACGCTGGGCTGTTTCGTCAGGAGTGATGATGACACAGCCAAGGCATTTGCGCCCTTCTGGTTAAAGTTTTTGGTTTGCCTTTCATCGGAAATAATTCTAAGAGATATCCAAACTGAGATGATGATGGGTGAACAATCAAAGGGAAAGGCAGATGGGGAAGTGGAGTTGAAAAGTGGTCATAATACGGTAGAAAATTCTGCATCTGTCAGCAGGCAGCTGTTCACGGCATCACAGGCGACGTCTCACCAAGCCAGATGACCTCACAGGGAGCCGCGTCAAGGAAGGGTATCCTGTCAGGATAGGTATCAGAAACCCCAACTCAAACTTGCTTTAAAAAGAAAGAGATTTATTTCTCCAAGTAGCAGGAAGTCTTGAGATGGGCTCAGAGTTGGTCGTTTCGGTGTGCCAGCAATGTCCATGAGAACCCAGTTCTTTCCAGCTCGGCGTGGCCACCCTGGGCATGGGCTTTGTCCTGAGGCTGGAAGGGAAATGGGGGCTGCAGGTACAGGCCTCCCATCTGGGCCTCAGAGACTAGAGAAAGAAGAGAAAGCCATTGGCAAGGGAAGGGGTTGCCAGAATGTGTCAGAGGAAGCATCTGGAGTAACTGCAGTAGCTACAGAGTATCCACTGGAAACGCCAAGACGTTGCAGCCCCAAACATCCTCTTCCCCCATCCCAGCCTATGCATTTTAGAAGTTCTTTCAGTCTGCACCAGTACAGAAAGTAGTGAATGAAAACCCTTTACTCTGTTAGCAAATACCACTTAATGCCTTAGGAGTCATCTAATGGGGACACACCCAGACCAGGGAAGATTCCCAGAATGGAGAAAGAGAGCAGAGGAGGTAAGTCAGGGGGCTCAGGGAAGACCAGTTCTGAAACTTGGGAGCCCTGCCAGAGTGAGCCTGAGCGTGGCAGTCAGAAACCCCCTCCTGGCCCTTAAGGGTTAATCGCCCGCCCACCCGCCGCTTGAAGAAACACTGGCTTAATTTTAAATTCAGCAATATCCATACATTTATGATTTACAATGTAAATGGTATATATTCTGGGAAATCTGGAATCCTTCAACCGATCGGTTATGCTTTAATTTTTTTTCTCCTTCTTCTATAGACCTCGCAGTGTTGGAGCTGTGCTGAATGAGGTCACAGTCTAACTACAGTATTAACCCTGCAAATCTGTTCATTTTCGCCTGAGCACCCTCAGGCAGGATACAGAATGTGTCCAATTGAAAGACTATTACAGGCGCTGCAGTCCATGATGGGATGAATTGTAACAGGGTGGAAGGTACTGGGGGGGGGGGAGGGGGTGTCTTTAGCCAGGTAGGAAGTATCTCTCAAAAGCAGAGGTTATGTGATTGCATTTTGAAAGGAAAAATCTTGTTCTCTCTCACTCAAATTTAAAAATTTTTTTTTTCAACGTTTTTATTTATTTTTGGGACAGAGAGAGACAGAGCATGAACGGGGGAGGGGCAGAGAGAGAGGGAGACACAGAATCGGAAACAGGCTCCAGGCTCCGAGCCATCAGCCCAGAGCCTGACGCGGGGCTCGAACTCACGGACCGTGAGATCGTGACCTGGCTGAAGTCGGACGCTTAACCGACTGCGCCACCCAGGCGCCCCTCTCACTCAAATTTTAAAACGCAACTTTTAATATTCTCAGATCTTAACTGTTTTATATTTTCTACCAACCGTGTCTGTCTTTGTATTTCCCCCCATCCGATACCTCTTCAATTTCTCTTCTCTGTGTGCTACAAACATCCTTTTGTGTTTTTTTAATACCTTTTGCATTATTAAAAATATAGAGGAACATCTAAAGAATAATAGAGTGAACACCCATGAACCGACCACCCCATTTAAGAAATAAAACACTAGCTCTTTTCCTAGGACTGTTTCTGGGCCCTGTTTAATTCAGCATGGAGAAAAGCACAACACAGATGGTCAGCGTTTTGTGTAAAGGCTCAATCGCCACGCATTCATGGTAGCTGCAGAGTTTCAGAAAGTATGTGCATTCGCTGTCTTGCCTAGACATGTGGTTAATGCTAAGTAGTCTAACAGTTGTGCCCCAGGTAGCTCCTAAAGCTGTTTCAGATCATAAAATCTATGATGTTTTGCAAATTTATATTTTATCATGCTGGGTTTTATGCGCAAAAACTAGATGACTTCCCCTTTATAATCTCCATCAAAGGCATTTTTCAAAATCCCTTTATTATGCCTTGTCACTGGCTTTGCCACGCATTGTTTGCATGTTTGAAAACAATCTCTGGCTAAATTATAAATCTGAGAGTATTGTTGTGGCGTTAGCCTTGCAGAACTGAGGGATAAATGCTATTTTAACTTATTCCTCAGTTGCAGACTCTAAATATTTGACCCCTTCATTGAGTGCCAGAGACGTGACTTGACTTGTCTGTGGTTTGGGCCCTATCACTAAGAGAGTGATAGACCATGTTTGGATAGTGCTTGAAATATTTATATTGTATCAATGGAAAGGATGTAATATTTTATTTCCTCAAGAGTACAGTTCCTTCAACATGTTCTCGCTGCCCCCGTGTGATGTCCTCCATCTGCTCTGTTTGCTCACATTGTGCCTTTAAAAAAAAGTTTTTTTTAATGTTTATTTATTTTTGAGAGAAAGGGAGAGACAGAGTTGAGTGGGGGAGGGGCAGAGAGAGAGGGAGACACAGAATCCCAAGAGGCTCCAGGCTCTGAGCTGCCAGCACAGAGCCCGATGGCGGAGCTGGAACTCGTGAACTGCAAGATCATGACCCGAGCCAAAGTCAGAGGCTTAACCGACCGAGCCACCCGGGCGCCCCTGCTCACATTGTACCTTTGCCTGTGGGGCTTCTCCATTGACACCTGCCCCATTTCTACCTTGGGAGCTTGATCACTTCAAGAAGTCTGGCATAGAGAAGAGCAACTTGCTCATGCTCACAAGCACATACTTACCACTGAAGGGTACAGTCTTTTCCAAGTGTCCCCAGACCTTTAGTCTTGTACAGAGTGAAGCAGGGAACAAATGGGTAGAGTGTGTGTTGATTTTTTTTTTTTTTAATCTCTTGACTGATGAACTTGGGGTGCCTGTTTACAAAGTTGCTTGGAGAATGTGTGCTGAAGGCCAGGTTAGTCATACCCTCATTTTCCTGATTTAAAAAAATAGAAATTGAGCATAGTTGCAGAACACAAGTGCTGAAAGATCTGTATTTATCCCAACTACATAGCAATAGGGAAGTTTCCAAAGAGAAGGATAAAGCCTATGTGTTTTATTTAGATATGGGTTGTTTTAAGTGTTGATTGTCTTTTCATTTGGAATGAGGGTAACTCTCCATGTGCCATTTAGCAGTTGTTAAATGTGAGAATTCATTAGTAAAATAGGCCGTCATAGAGCTCAGGATGATTGGAAGTGAACATTAGTTCGGCTCCTTGATTCGGAGCTTGGGAAGTTTTCCTTTTCTTTGTTGCAGATTTTGTGTTTCTAATATTCATTACAACAAGAGTGAGAGCCTGCTGATTTTTCAAGATTTTATTACCGAAAGAATATCAACACTAGTCTCTGGCTTATTCTTTATGATGCGTGTGTTTCCTTTCTCTCTACCGAAAACGTGTCTAAACTTGCTTATCTCTCTGTAGGACAGTCGGCCCAATATGTCAAGACCTCTGATCACTAGATCTCCTGCATCTCCACTGAACAACCAAGGCATTCCTACTCCAGCACAGCTCACAAAATCCAATGCGCCCGTCCACATTGATGTGGGCGGCCACATGTACACCAGCAGCCTGGCCACCCTCACCAAATACCCCGAATCAAGGTAATCCGAAAAATGGAAAAGTCACACTCGGAAGTGCATGTATTTGATGATCTAACTGTTTTTCCTTTGACCAGCACAGCAGCGTGGACTTACTGGGGCCGGGGCTAGAGCACGAGGGTGCCGTGTGGGCCCCCCGGCTACCCACGCTGCTCTTGGACGTGGCTGTCAGTCTTGTCCGAGTCAGGGCTCAACCCACAGCTTAATCAGGTCCACGTAGACATGTCACATAGGAATGGAGTTCTAGGATATTTTGCCCTGCAGAGATCTTCAGGTTTCTCAATGTAGTACAAAAGGAAGGATGATTTCTATTGCTACTGGCTTTTCTTCTGTCCTTTTCTAAAACACTTTCTGATCAGTTCTTAAGAATTTTCTAGGAGGTCATTTGGTGCGCCAACTTGTGAGCTAGAGAAAAAAAAGAGAGGCTCTTATCAATGGGGCAGTATATTTACAACACAATGCAAAAGTCCAGGAAGCCAAGATAGTCTTGTGTTAAAAAAAAAAAAAGGCCAGTGGGACTTCCGAGGGATCAAGGCAGATAAATAAATATAGAAAGTGTCTGAAGAGGGAGCATGGTTTACAAACAGGCACTATACAGTTCTGCTTTTTTTAGTCTTTCTCTGTTACCTGATATTTTATGAAAGGTTGAGAGGAAAGATAAAATTTTCTCTCTCAGTTTCCAGATTGAATTTCTGCAGCCAAAGTGAAATGATTTTTTTAAAAAACAGATGACCACAGGGGCACCTGGGTGGCTCAGTCAGTTAAGCGTCCAACTTCAGCTCAGTCTCACAGTCTGTGAGTTCGAGCCCTGCGTCGGGCTCTGTGCTGACAGCTCAGAGCCTGGAGCCTGCTTCAGGTTCTGTGTCTCCCTCTCTCTCTGCCCCTACTCTGCTCATGCTCTGTCTGTCTCTGTCTCAAAAATAAATAAAAAACATTAAAAAAAATTAAAAAAAACAGATGACCATTAATTCAATGACCAAAAAGCTTTATATTTTTAAATGAAATGATTATATCATTCAGTTATTAGTATTATTGAGTCCCCACTTTCCCTAAGTTCATTGTGACAGGTGCTACAAGCTCATGCTACATTATGGCTATATTTTTAAAGAATATCATACAAGGAAGTAAGGTTTCTTTTTAAAAAAAATACTTCCATTCCTTCTAATCTAATACCAACCTCAAAGAAAGAAAATCACCACGCCTCTTCAGATGAACACTTAATTCTAGGGAGCAAGCCACAAAACGTACACGAGCCAAAAAGCAAATCCTTAGCTGTAGCAAAATTCACTGATCTGATCTGGTGGCCTTTTGTTTCATTCAGTCCAATTTTTAAGCTCTGATCCAGGAGGGAAGTTATGTCATGTGCACACGACATAAGTGGCAGGTTTTCTTCGAAGGCTCATTGCAGCTGGGGGGTCTCTTCCTACTGACTAAAGCCGCACGGGGGTTTGGCATCCGTGTAGCTCCCCCGTATCACTTAGCCTGTTGCAAGGGTAGAAGGTAGAAATGTGTTGGAGGCGCTGTTTATTCAGTTCCTCTCTCCAGTGATTTGCCACTTTAGAGACCTCGAATAGGTGTCTTACTTGGAGAGTCTTCCTCTGGCCCCTCTGCGTGGGCATTTCTAACAGTCTACTTTCAGTCCCTCGTTGTCCACACCCTGAGACAGGCATCACATTCCACGATCTCAGTACTCCGGATACACCATCTCATATGGCAGCCACTAGCCACATGCAAACTTTGAGCACTTGAAATGTCGCTGGTCCAAATCAGAATGTCCTCTAAGTGTAAAATTGCACTGGACTGTAAAGAATTAGTGCCTACCAAAAAAAGTGAAATATCGCAGGCAGACAGTCTCTCCTTTGCTGTCCTGCCCACTGTTCCCTTGCTGTGTATTCAACAAACTTCTGTCTCTTTAAAAAAAACAAACAAACAAACAAAAAAAGCAACTCAGTAGTTTTTTATTATTGATTTCATGTTGGAATGAGAATATACTGAATTAAATATGTCATTAAAATTAATTTCACCCGTTTCCTTTTACTCTTTCAATGTGGCTACTAACAAACCCAAAATTACATACATGTCTTGTGTTTTATGTCTGTTGGACAGTGCTGACCTATACACAGATTTTTAAAACTCTAAGCAAACCCACTTCTTCCCCAACCTGATACGTACATACATGATAACTTGAATTTCTCTTTCACCAACTTCATTAGAAAAGGTGAAATTGTTCGTCTTCCTTTCCCGATCTTTCTCCACACATCCTCGCCACCACTGGGCCACAGTGTCATGGGAGAAACATCAGAAATACTTCATGGTTCATTAGTCCCCACATTTAAATGCTGATGCTGCCATTTAGTACTTGTTTGGCCATGGATAGGTCCAATTTCTAAGCGTCTGTCTTCTCACTTGTAAAATAGACACGGATAGGTCTTCTTGCAAGGTTATTGAGAGGATTAAATGTGATTACTAAAAGCACGCCATGGCCCTGTGCCCAACACATAGTATTGCCTTTATGCTTAATCTTCTGCCAAACCCAGCAATTATTTCTTTTCAAACTGCCTTCCAAATTCCAAATATATCCCCTTCCTTCATTTCCTAGACCATGGAAACAGGCTCACTTTTGGGTTCTTGCCTGAATGACTGCAGGCTCAGGGGAGCCCTCGCCTGCACCTTCTGGTCCTTTATCTTGACGCGCCTACCTGTCCCAGAACTGCTGAGCTGTTCTAACATCATCTTGATCGTTAGGAGATATTCTTAAGCATATGTTAAGACTCGGAAACAAGCCTTATAAAGTGACTTCTCTGTTGCTTATACCTAAAGCAGATGATACTGGTTTAGATGTTGAACCGACCATTCTGCTCCCTCTTGTAGAGTGTGTGTGTGCGCGTGTGTGTGCGCGCGCGCGCACACATTTGGTAAATAATCCAGTGTTCATTTCAAGGCAGCAGTCAGTCTAAGGGGACCCATACATAAATTTTTGTAGTGAAAGATACAGGGAAGGAAGGGTTTCATGCTTTTCTTATACATGTCAGTTACTCCTCCCACTTTCTGGGAAAATCTCTTGCATGTCTTCACCCCTTTGGGGATAAATCCTAGGAGATTAGGTTGCCTATGACCATAGAGTTACAAATAGCTCCAACTCGAGTTCTCTAGATTCTAGGGTAGTCCGAGCCCTTCTCCCACTGTGGAACCATTCCCTGCCCCCTCGCCCGTCAGCACACCCTGGTTCCTCTCTCACTTGCCTTTTCCTTGGTGTAGCCCAGAGGAGTGGACGGCTTTTTCCTTGGTTTTATTTTCTAGGATTTCAAGAAGAGACTTGTAGTATAAAAGCCTTGATTTGTTTATAACAAGTGATCATAAAAAATGTAATGTCTTTCTACAGTTTCAAAGGTTCTACACAGAGCCTTTATTCCATTTTGAAATGTTTTATATGACTTTTCATCCTGTGTCTATTTATCGCCTTCTTGGCTAAAGACCACCCTTAGAACATGGTCCCCAGAAAGTGGTACAATGGACCGCACAGCCAAACTTTAGAAGCACCTGGGAAGCATTAAAAAGCCATACATGGTCCTGCCCCAGACCAATAAAATCAGAATCTCCACGAGTTTCCTAAGAGATTCTGACTTTCACCATCTGGCTTTGAACAACACCAATGTGGATGGTCCCTCCAAGTGAACATAGGCTTCTTCCTCAATGAATATTTCATGCTATATCATAATGGCTATTAAAATAAAATACGTTTTGATCTTTATTTCTTTAATTACCAAGGTTACCTGTTCCACTGTGTGTGGGTACCCCTATGCTTTGGTGTTTTGGGTGGGGGGGAGGCTTCTAAGCCCTGAGTTGGGATTCAATAAGCAAGTTGACTTTTTACATTTTACAACAGAGCTCCTCACACACATCATTATTCACATTCATTGTCAGGTGGTTTCTAGCTAAAGGGACTGAAGGTTTCAAATTAACTGGAGCAGGTGCATACATCAGTGATGTGCTGTGTTTTACCGATGTTTTGTGTAAGATGCAGAACAGCTCTTTGGAGGGGTTTATGAGACCGAGGCTAATCCACACCCCCTCAGGGATCAAGGAGATAGATCCCTTGCAGAGTTGCTGACAAGTCTCCAGTTCCAGTTGCTGTTCTGAATTGTAATCACCGAGAAAAACACCTAGTTCAGATCTGCAAGAACAGTACATCAAATAAGTAAAACAACAAAAAAAGTCAAAAAATATATCACTGTCATGAAAAGATTTTAATGGATTTTATAAAGAAGATAGAACATATCTTACCTGACAGTTTGCTAGCTTGATTGATAAATTATAAGCATCTAGACATGGGAGGTGGGCCTCACCTGTACTCTTGCCCTGGGCCCTGCAGATTTTAAGGACAGACCTGATAATGTCTGATTTAAAAATCTAAGGCACCCATTATCAACATCATTGATAACAACAAAGTCTAGGTATCTAAATAATTTGTTATAAATAATTAAGGTTGGTACCAAATTACATGACATCTTTAAAATCTCCTGTATTGCCACTGAAATATCTTCATGGCTGTGTGTGTGTGTGTGTGTGTGTGTGTGTGTGTGTGTGTGTGTGTGATATTAAATAAACTTTCTTTGCTTTAGAAGATAGTCTGGGTGGCTTGGTTGGGCATCTGACTTCGGCTCAGGTCATGATCTCACAGTTTGTGGATTCGAGCCCCGCATCAGGCTCTGTGCTGACAGTTTAGAGCCTGGAGCCTGCTTCGGATTCTGTGTCTCCCTCTCTCTCTGCCCCTCCCCTACTCGCACTCTGTCTGTTTCTCTCAACAATAAATAAAACATTGAAAAGTTTTTTTCAAAAAAAAGAAGACGCAAGTCTGAGTTCAAAGTTAGGTCCATTTCATCCTTTATTATCACCTTGCACAAAATGGAAGCTCACTATTAATAGCAGCTATATTGATGGTTGTTCACATGTGGACTTTTTAAAACTGGGAAGTGGGCTGTTATTGCTAATGAGTGAAACCT